GCGAGAGAGACATCCACTGCCGATAGATGTTGTTACAAGATGGAATGCCAAAGGTTGCGAGGGGAGGTGGGGCGTGGGGTGGGGAATGTGGGTTGGGAAAGCCTTCCCGCTGCACATCGCAAAACATACGGAGTGACGGGGGTAAGGGGACGGTATGGACTCACACCATGGGTTCGGCAGAGATAGGTAGGCAGAGAAAGAGAATGAGAGGATGAGACTAGAGCGAGGTTGGATTGGTGACGTGTTGTACTGTCGATCGCCGACCCCATAGTCTACATGCCAACCAAGACCCTCCTCCGCACGTTTCGGGAAGAGAACTCGGCGGTCTTGGGGGTGAATGAAACGGGGGGGCTGTCCGTGCAACTAACGACTCTCCAGCGGGCAACACCGTGGAAAAACTTAGGGTTACTTGCCGACGAACACCACCGCTTTTGACAGAATTGGCGGCACGTGGGAGTGAGGGTCATGAAACGACTATGTAGTGAGCGAACGTAAAAGGAAAAAACACAGAGGATGCTCTTTTTAGCACGGAGCACCAGAAGACAACAATACCGGACGCACAATACGTTCCGTCTACCGCAGTTCATTGAAAAACACGAGAACGACGAATGAACCATTCCGCCAAGCGTACAGTCGACCCCACTTTAAGGACGCTCGAGTTGAGGAGAATCCCCCCTTAAAGGAAACTTGTCTTCTCAGCACCAGGGGGCCCGTCCGAATATACGATAATGGGGAACCCCTATTTTAATGCCGCGTACCCCCCTTTTTTGTGTCCTGCGGGCCTGCGGGCCGCTCTTCTGTCTTTGCACGAACCACGCACCACAGTGAGTGCAGAAGTCGCGACGCACAGACAGCAGGTAGCGAGCGGTCTGCTGCTGCAGCTGTAACTGGGTGTTGGTACCGGCGGTCCATCTAATGCCGCCAAAAACGAGTCGTGCATAATCTCGTCCCTCACCGAGAGAGAGGTTACCTCTCGCTTGGAGGACGTTCGATCCTACAGATAGCGCCCGCAGTTAAGTAACGTCAAAATCGGTTCGAGCATCACGAATCCCTTCTATTGGGTCGTCGTCCATTTTCGTAAATGGCATTTCTTCTTCCTTTGGACTGTCGCATCCTCCTGATTCTCTTATTCCGTAGACTCTGACAAGTACTTCGTATTTTCTTCTGTCTTTTGATCTCTGAGGACAATCCACATCATCAAGCCCTCAAGAGAGGTGGTGGAGAGTGCCATCAAACCCGTACAACAGCAGAGAGCATATGATTGTCCGCGATGTGTGGCAGTACTACAGCACTCACTGCGAACAGCAGGGGCGCGGGGAGGTGGGGCGGGGGGGGGGACTCTGCCCCTTACAAAAAAATGCACTTCTGTTCAGCTTTGGAGGGGGGTGGGAGCACCGCAAATTTCTGACGTCATGGGGTATCGCACGATCACGTTTCTTACGATGTGGCCGAGATTGAGCTATATTTCTTGGCCCTGTTTGCTTATTTTTCGTACAAACTTAAGCCTTTTTTATTAACAGAATTTTTCTTCACTGCGGGCGCTATCTGTATTTGTACGCGAAGGCAAGGGATGGCGAGTACCGCTAGACGCAGTACGTTCTTTCGACGACCGTTCATTCGTTTACTCTTGAAACTCAACAGAGCCGTAGAGCCAAGCTGCAGGGGGAGGTTCAGGGAACTCTTCGCGATATATATGTGGAAGGAAAAGCCGTCCAGGTAGCTTTTGGTCTCCGCCGGGACAGTGAAATGAACTGGTGTTCCTCGGTGCGACGCTGAAAAACGCTCGTTATTTTTGTTTCACAAGAATGAGATAAACATATGTCTACGTGGACTTTCCTCCTCCTTCCGCTGCCGGCTATGCAGTACATTAGTTGGCCAAGTACAAACTGGTGTGCTGTACTTGTTTTCAACACGTCCCCGACTGCTCTACATCTCATTTGAAGTAGTGTAAATATGTTCGACGTCAACAAACGGTTGCCAGTCGTGTCGGCGGTGCTGACTTTTCGTACCACCCCCTTCCTTAGCAAAAGTCGCGTAGCTTGAGGTATAGCATGCCTCCATTGGCCCCGGGGATGGTGAGCTATCGTCCCCTGAATTTTAAGGACGCAACCCCGCTTTACGGACGCTTTTTTCCAGGAAAAACCATGTGCGTCCTTCAAGCGGGGTCGACTGTACACATCGACAACGCCGCCCCTCTCGGGGGCAGCAGGCATCATCCAGTCGTTACAGTGTGAAACCACGGGCGGCAGCAAACCACGAGGAGATCTCACCGGATGGAGGACATGTTCCGTCTTCCGCACAGCATTCTACAAAAAAACACAACCGACGAACGGATCATTCCGTCAAAGCACACTTTTCCAGACTGCGAACACTGAATGTATCGCCTACCCACCCACCCCATCGCTCGCTTATCTACCGGGCAAGGCGTGTGGGAGAGAAGGGTGATTCAAGCCAAAACCGCGCAACCGACAGCAGATGTCACACCTCACCACAGCGAACATACATGACACCAACAAGACCACAAGAAAATAACAGTCCCGCGACAAGGGAACCAACACACATCACGCGGCTTTTATTCTGTCAACACCGCACCTTACAGTCTCCATACAGAATAAATGATTCAAAGAGATTCCCATCTCATCATTTGACCCAACTTCCGGGATGCTTGAGTTGTCTAGACAAGAGGTTGCTCTGATACGGCGCGCATGCGCTTCGATGCGGCAAGCTCGACTTCCGCACAAGACACACAGCGGTCGTTACAACGTTAAGTCTACAGGTACAAGAGGTGTACGGCTCAACGCTGTCGAGGTAAAAGTGCAAACACAAGAAACGAACGCATTTGATATAAAAAACGACACTCACAAGCACGGGCCCCCCTCCAGCTCCGTAGAAGGCCCACAGAAAAAACGCCTCACGCCCATACGAGATAACAGACGAAGACTTGCCGATCCACACTCAAGGGGGCTTCGGTTCCTCTTGACGTGTACACCATGTTCCGCGGTAAACTGTACAAACAACACGCAACGGTCCAAACAGCTGGTGCCACCGTGTGGAAAGCGTAGGCAGACACTTAGCGGACTCTCCCGCAGCATTCCCAAACGCACAGATAACGTAAGCGGTACACGTCGTCCCTTCTCGACGCTTCTAGACGCGTAAGCGAGTGCCGCGAAACCAACCGCGGCGACTCAACGGGTGGCAGTCGCTCTTGTCGCGGGCATCGACCCCTTCACGTGCAAAACGTCGCCGAAAGGGCTTACGCACCGCGAGCGATACAGAGACCCCGTGCAAACAACGGACGTCGAAAAAAGCAACCTAATCCCCAACCCGAATCCGTAGCCCCAACCAAAACAATCCTCGCGAAACTACAGGTAGAAACAGCAGAGGTAGGAACAGCAGCGACATACAAGCACGCAGCAAGAGGCGTCAGCCTAGTCCCCGTTGATCTTACACCAGCAACCTTCTTGAGCTACACCCAACCACCCCGGCATCATCTGTTTTTCGTAGAGCACACGTCTTTCTCCACCATGTCTAACCTCTGCTGGAGTCGTGTTACCACGGCTGCCTTCGGCGGGTCCACGTCCTCCGGGTGTCTTAGTCGCTTGCCGCCCTGTGGTGGTGGTGGTGGTGGTGGTGGCCCCCCCAAGGTTCCGGGCGTGATGACGCCGTCGGTGCAATGAAGGGAAGGCAGGAGAGAGAACGTAACGCGGAAGGCGAGGGAAGAAGGGAGGGGAGAGGGGAGGGGGGCGAGAGAGAGGGAGAGAGCCGGAAAAAAATGTTAGGGGAGGCTCCGGAAGTGTAGCACGGGAGATCGGGGGGTGACAGGGTGACGGTTTGGCGACGCGGCATCCATGTCGGTCCATGTGTTTCGGTACCTCCTTCTCTCGCAATCATTCCACCGCGCGACACGAAGCAAGCCTTGGTTTGAAACAGGAAGATCTAAATAGCATGTGTGACACCGAAATATACTCGGACAAATGAAGTTGAAACGCAGCAAAGAGTTACCGCTAACGTTGCTGAACAGCAGTGATCGGCCGCTAAAAAAAAAACTGGTCCATGGTGGGTGGGGTATCCTACGCGACCTATGGTATCATTGCAGCAGTGTAGAACGCGTCACGCATTAGAACTTGACCTAAAAAAAAAAAAATCGAAGAACTTGGGCCATCAGAACAGGTGTTCAGTAGAAAAAAGCCCACACAATAACAGTCGCCGCGGGGTAACCCCGCACAAAAAACCAGAGTCTCGGCCAAAAAGTGGCGGCGCGTTCTGTATCACGACTCACCTCGCCCCACGACTGCTTGTTGCCCGATTCTGGCGGCGACTTGATCTTGACGTGGGAGAGCATCTGGTCGGCCAGCTTCTCCGCCGTGCGGTTGTTCGGAGCAAGGAAGCCGGCCACGCGGGCGGCCTGCGCCGGGTCGGCCATTTCCCCGTACCGGAAGCAGGTGGTGAAGGCCGGGTCCAGTTCTTGGAAGGTGGAGTGGACAACCGCCAAGTTGTTGAGGAGGATTCGGGACTCTCGGATAAACCTTGTATTTTTTGTCACAAGGGGCGGGAGTGAGTAGTTCTAATTGTTTTCTTGACATGACACAGCGAATCCATCTCGATCTACAGCAAAGAGTCTAAAGTAGATAAGCAATGAATTCAGAGCGTCAGGGCAGAAAGGCTTACCACAATTTACACGACTTCCCAAGCAGCATGCACCGATGGCTCCCCCGTGGGTAACAGGCTCAACAAGACAATTTGGAAGCCGAAAAAGACAACTATGCATAAATCACGGATTGACACTACGTGCCCGTTCGAGACAAAACCACGTCAGTCGAGTGGGAAAACAGAGGCAGTGCTGCACGACAGAAAAAAAAAAAAGTGTGAGAAAAAACGCTTCCAACGGGAAAGCAGCCCCCTGTGGAAACCCCTCGGATCAGGCGGCTCGCGGCGCAACAGACCTCCACACCCAGCACGGGCTCTAGAGGGCGAACCAGAGGCTAAACTGCCCAGAAAACTCGAGAGGTATGTTAACACGATGCAAGGGCACAGCAGGGTATGTTTTTTACGCCCAGATACACATGGTAGGGTGAGAAATTTAGACTTTAGCTAGAGCATACCACACTGCGGCAGCACCAAAATCCGCGAGGAAGCTTCACACGCGAGCCGACCTCTGCGCAAGCTTGGCGTCTTGCAGCCCAATTATGCTGCCGACGTATACCTAGGTCTCATTGCCACCTAATGCAAAAGGTTTGAGGCGATTTAGTGCGGTAGAAAATAAGCATGGTGTGTTCAAAATTCAAATTTCAGGAGAGCCTACGCCGGGGGGTTCGAACGCACGCCCTCCTGTGTTGCGCATGTACATCCACTGGATACACGACCCCCATCCAAAGATTCCATGGAAATGCTCGATACAGTCCGGCCGCCACAAAAATTTATAGGAAATATGGACGTCGAAAGAGCAAGTACGTCTGTCTTGAAGTTAAAATTTAGCTCGGTGCTTGCCATGGTGCGAGTGAAACATGACCCGGGGCGCTCAGCTACGCGTACTCCAGACCGTTCATCAGCAGTAGATTGGAACGGCGCAGATATGTCGAGTCGGGCATATAGTCTATAGTGCGTAGATCGACAGCTTTCAGTCCGTCACGCTCTGAGGTACATAAGCATACCCAAACAGAGGATCATATGTTATGCATGGCTGTCAAGAGACAACGATAGAACCACACACATAGCATAGGTGTGCGCCTGCGTAGGCTGTACGTGTCACGTGACCTTTTGTAATTTTTGGTTGTATACCATGGCCAGGTATTTAATGCATGGGATAACGGCCGGCACAGGTCGTGCTGACAGATGACCCGTCGGAGAGGTAGGGGGGGCAACCGGGCTGGTGGGGCTAACAACCCCAGAGGTCAACCGGCTACGCCACCTGCTACACCTCCAAACCAGCCTAGGAGCTCTGTTACACCCAGAAGCGGGGGTATGCAGCCAGCATGGGACCTTCGTCAGCTTACGGAAGGCCCGCTAACCCCGCGTACTCCAGTGGTCGACAACTCAGGGGGAGACATAACAAGTGAACGTCCACGGATCAGGAGCGGGAGAGAGGGCAACTTAACCACTGAGGTGCGCACCCCCACCGCCGCGACAAAGCGCGACGCGAGAGATTCCGGTGCACGCGTCCGTCGGACGGGAGGAAAATCCCGGTCGGGCAGGAAACGCAGGAAGAGGCCCTCTGTTGGTGTCACGGGTGGTGGACTACCCAATCTTGAGAGCAAGCTCGAGGAGGAGGATTACTACAGACAGCAGGGCGAGGCGAGGAGGGAGGCATCGGCCCGTAAAGCTCGCGCGATTGCCGAAGACGAACGGCAAAAAGCAGAGTCCGCGGGGAATCACCCCGTTGATCCTCGGCGTAGGAGTCACGGCGGGAACCCAAGACAAGCTGGTTATCAGCCTGGAAAGCGGAATGCGGGTAGGAGACTTTCTGCCCCAGCGGTGCTATCTGTACGCCAACCAACAAGCAAGAAGCGAAGAAAGGCGTGCGAGCGTATGGAATGCGGGTGGGTTACAGACCACCCTGGCACCGAGTGTAGCAAATGCTCCGGGAGTGTAGTGCACTCGGACGACGATAAGCTATGTTCGGCATGCCACAGGTCTCCGAATGACGACGGTTTCAGGCACCTCCGCGCGGACCGGTTAGGGCGAGCAGTAGACTTCGTGACCGCGTGGACACAAGGAGAGAAAACCCTCCCTCCAGCTCTCGTGCGAGACTTTAGGCCCAGCAATGACTGCCTCTGCGCACGCCCAGACTGCTTCCTAGTTTTTTTCGCCGAGGAAGAAAGGAAGGCAGAGTCTCGCGTTTGCGGTACTTGTGGGTACCGGAAATCGGGCAAGAGCATCGTAAGGTGGTACCCCATGGATGCTGCAGATGACGATGTGGCGGAGGGGAACGCAACGGTGAGCGATGGCCTTTGGTGGTGCGGCCGCTGCTATCAGAAACGGTTGGACGGCATAAAGAGAGACGAGAAACAGCCAGAGCACACAGCGAACAATACGCATGGATCGGGGGGTGAGGCGCCGGTGCCTCCAGATCCGTTGGACACGGTGCGCGCTATGGTGGAAGATGTCGTCCGTCGAGGTGAGATCCTGTACTGGCAGGACGTCGCCGCTTGGGTAACAGCGGAACGCGCGAAGCTTGGCATGGAGGAGTTACAAGGGAGATACCCAAGAAAAATCGTCCGGGCCATATTTGCAAGCATCGAAGAGTCCGGGACTTCACGCTTGGTCAGTCACGAGCCAGCACATGGAGACGCACGCGAGCGAGAACTTTTCCTCTTTCCAAAGACCCTTGGGGACGAGCATCTCGTTGACTTAATGCTGCGTGCTCGCCGTAATGCACCCGTACAGCCACCATCCAACCAGCTTGCGGATAAGGGCGGGTCTCTCAAGTCCATTCTGAGGGAAGTCGAGAAGAACACGGAGGACGCAGACGCAAGGATGTCCGTCGTGCGGGCAGCAGGTACAATTGTTCGAGCCGACGTGGAGAGTGATCCTGCCCTGAAGAACACCCCCGGGACGCGCGAGAAGCATCGCTACGCCGATGAGTTGGACATGAAAGTGAAGCCACCCAGAGAGACTCTACTCACCGCGTTTCCTCCGGCCTTGGTTGGGTTATACCAAAGCATGACGAACATGGCACTGTATCGCGAGATCATCGCATCAGAGACCGAGTATCCTGGAGAGGCCTGGGTATGGCAGACCGAAGGGCGAGATGGGCGGCACCCTACCACCTCGGGCGACTTGGAGGGCGAGGACGGTGATGGAGAAAAGAAGGACGAGGTCAGTCAAGGAGCAGTGGCGGTGTCGTTAGGGCCACGGACCGAGGAACAGGCCAGGCATATCGACAGCCTTAACCGCGACAGGCGATCTACGCATCGTAGGCTTCTAGTGATGTGTACGGTGGTGGTGAAGGCCATTTTGCGTGGTCGGCACATGGGTTCGCACGACATCAAAGGGGCTCAGTGGGCAAAGTCTAAGGGTACGTGTCGCGATGTGATCAACTTTGTAGCGGAGTACGGTTTATGGGCGACGACGTCGCAAATTCAGCACCGAGAAGATTTCCACGCGAGGTTCGTAGAGGACAAGGACCTCCTGAGCCGGGACGCCGAGTGCGCCGCCATTCCCCTGGACAACTGTGATTTTGACCCGAGGGTCGGAGTAGGCCAGGGGGAGGGGCCTCATCTTCCCTTCATCGCTGCGACGGCCTTGACAGTAGGGCCCGACGTAGGTCGAATGGACGACTGGTGGATGGTCAAGAGCCGGGGATCTCTTACGGTGGAAGACGTCCTTATGGGACCGGAGCGGGACCGGGAGGACGGAGCACGGCGGTATAACGAGTTTTCGTCCGAACTCTACCGCGGCGTATTCGCTGAGGCGCGGAACAACTCCGACAGGGCTGCGGCAGACACATGCTTCGAGTCTGAACTCCGCACGGTAAGATATCATTTGGTTACTTTCTCTCTCCTTGCTTTCTGGTTTTTCCACGACTTGTCCCGTCTGATGCTACCCAATTATATGTAGCGTTCGTCGATTCTGAGTCGCGCTCTCCACCCTATTCCTCGTCCACGTAGGCCATCACACCCGAGGGCAAATCGCCGCAGCAACTGCGATACGCGTTCATCCAGAAGGGTTCTACCAAGCGTTTCAGCGATATGAAGGCAGCCATCCAGCGCATACAAGGTATCTGGTGTGGGTCCCCAGCCGGTAAGGCTGGTGCACCATTCATACTCGGTGGGGACGAGGAGACATACAAGCACATGTACCACGTCATGGCACAGGAGCCGCGCGAGTACCGACAAGTCCGTCGATACCCCGGCGATTGGCATTTGCTGTTGCACATGGCCAAGGCGATGCTTAGGCGATACTGGGGTGCTGGCGTGGAGTTCGTGGCGAAGGATTTGGGCACAGACGGGTCGAAGTCGGGGGAGGGGAGCAACTACCGTCGGGCACACCACCACATAACGGCGTTTTGGGCGGCGTTTATGGCTCTGTGTCGAGAGGAATACTTGAAGAGTTTGTCGACGCCAGGTGACAGACCGGTGGAAGAGGACGAGGTGGTCGACGGGGTGGTTCGGTGGATAGTGGCACGGACGGAGTCTCACAAGACTTTCGCTGTGTGGAAGCAGTTCCTCCTCCACGACTACCCTGCGTACATCGCCTTCCGAACTGCCCTGCGTACGGGGAACTTCAGGCTAAGGCTTGAAGGTCTTCGCCGTATCGCCCCCATTTTTTTCATCACCGGCAAAGATAAGTACCAGTTTCTCGTGGTAGATCATCTGACGGAGGTGTCGCGTTATTCGCGCAACGATATGAGGGTCGTATCCGAGCTATTCTCCGTCTCACTCGGCCCTGACACGTTTGCACGAATCGGCTTGGACGAGCGGCAGGAGGTGTCCAATCGTCTCTACAAGACATTGACGAAAAGGATCCTTTCGAGCACGATAGAAAAGCTGGCACCGATTGCCCAGCTGCGTGAAGTCGCCATCTTCGACTTCGAATCGCATTTCATCGAGAAACCACGCACGGAAAGGGACCGTTGCAGAGAGTTGGCGGTGAAACGTGCACCAGCAGTCAGGGCGGCGATGGACTGCTTGAGAGAGAGCCCGGTATTTGAAGGCAACGATGGCAAAGACAAGGTCGTGGCGTTGGACGGGAGAGTGTTTCCGCCGGTCAAGTCGCAAGAGATTATCGACTCGCCCGCTAATGCTCGTGCGAAACTGCGCGAGTGTGTCCTGTACTACGTCTTCAAGAAGAAAAAACTCAACGGCACGAAACTCAAGGGCGCGACCAAGAAGAAGGTTTTCTCCATCCCGGCTAGGAACAGCATCAACAAGGCCACGAAGAGTCAAGGGAGGTCGTCTGCACTCAAGGATTCCGTCGGTAATGCCTACGCTGGGGGGCAAGAGTGGAAGGCCCTCACGCTGAACATGATCGATGCGGCCAGAGAAGGTGGGGGTGTGGTGACGCAAGACCAGATGCTGGAAATGGTAGCTTCCGTAGGAGCGGCCACGCCGTACAGCATGGCCAACGCGACAGGAGGTGAGGAAGAGAGCGTGCGCAATACAGGTTGTCATCTCGTGCTCTCGCTCCCAGCCGAAGCTCACCCACTCTCCACACCCGTGTTTCTGAGTGCTATTATCATAATGCATACCGCATCACATTGTGTTCACCCCCCCATCCCCAAACACCCCTGTTGGTTATCTCTCCCCAAACGTATCAGGAGCTAAGCACGCCAACAAGGCGGCAGGTCCAGGGAAATGGGTCAGAGAGCACTGTGCCGACGGGTTCGCAGACGACCCGTTTTACGACGCCGACGCTCATGGCGTGGATCTTCCCGTGTCAATCCACCAAGGGGTGCACCCGGAATATCTCGAGAAGGGAACTGCGGGAATAATCGACTACTTCAAGAGGCAGCTGTTGTCGAAGTGGCTGCAGTCAACCGAGCTACTCATGGTGTGCTACGACCGACAGGAACTGGTCCCGGTAATCAAAGGACAAGAGCAGCTTGGGAGGACCGAGAAACTTGGTGAGTGCTCTCGGACCTTCGACCCGAAGTCAACGGACCCTGTTCCTTCGTTACAGTATGGACCATGGCTTCGAGCCGATGGCAAGGCGGCGCGGGACGGAATCGCCGCCAACCTCGCCATGCGCGTGCTAGCTGATGAAGTCTGGACCGGCGACACCAAGCCGAACGGAATCGTCGCATTCTATGGCGTCGGAGGTGAGCCTGGTCTGAGAGCTGATCATCCAGCTGGTGTAGATGCGGAGGGCGTAGGCCTTGAGATGGGAGGGGTAGGTGCCACGGAGGCGCTTTCCGGAACCGAACCACTCCTTCACTTTCGAAACGGAAACGACCCGATACTCGGCGTCGAGCGGCAGCGAGGGCCAGACATCGGCGAGGCGGAGCTCTCCGTGATACACTTCATCGTTTGGGCGAAGAGGTACTGGGGGAAAAACTTCCACAAGTGGATCGTTTCATCGGTAGACACGGACCTATGGATGATCATTCTACTGGCGATGACCACTGGTTGGCTCCGGCCTCGTGGCGAGGGGGCGGTTGACGTGACCGTCCAGAAGGTCGTGGGTGGCGAGACCAAGTTCCTGTGGATGAACAGAGTGTTCGCCAGCATCTGCGAGCTCCAGGACGGAAGCGAGTCCGCGTGGCCGCCATTGACCTTCAGGGGATGGATTCCCACGGACAATGACAAGGTCCGTCTGTTCGTCCTAACGTTCCTGGAGTCGGGCTGTGACTACCTCCCGGCAATTTCCGGGCTGCCGTTCGACAAGATGTGGGTACTGGCCCTCAAGAGCGTGCGGACGGAGGGATTGTTTGACAGGCCGCTGTTCTTTGAGGAGGAGGATGGCACGTGGGCCGTGCATGTCAACGAATGCGCGAAGCTTTTGGCGACCATGTTCTTCTACAAGGATGAGGCGGCGTTTGGCACTGCTCATTTGACTCCAGCCCAGCTGGTCGAAAGCGTTGATGGCGACGTCGAGGGATACGTGGACGTGATCCGCTACGCCATCCTCCAACTCCCTAAGAAGAAGACGACAGCCACCTGTCCATCTTTTTTTTCCTTGCGCAAGCAGGCGGAACGAGGTAACGCCATCTTCCGGTACTGGCAGAATGGCCTGAGGGCGACCATGCCGGCGACAGAGTTTGCCGGCAAAGGATGGAGCGTCGACCCACGAGGAAAGGGGAGCGACGGCGACGAACTCACAAAGGAGAACTGCGTGCTTGACCTGTCCGAGTATGCTTATATCGCCCCTGACCGAAAGACAGTCACGCTTGCGTGTGGTTGCAATCCGGACACGGCCCTGTGTAACAGGTGCAGGTGCAAGAACAAGAAGTGCTCGCTCGCTTGCGGCTGCAGAAATCGTTGCACCCTACGGCGGGTGGCCCCGGCACCCGTGCGTGCAGCGGGGAGGTCTGCGTCACGGCCTACGGTGGGTGCTCCTCAAACTAGTCGGGTAGAGGGTACCCCCCGACCCCAGCCACACATCGAGAGTCGGCCACGGCCATCCTACAGTGTTGCCAACGCCATGGCACTCTTTGCCGCTTCTATGAGGCAGCAGGAATCGCACGGAGCGGAACAGAACGACGTGGAGGCGGGGACCCCCGAGTCGCTTGCGAGCAAGGACGTTTCCGCCGGCGAGGCCGCGGAATCCAAGAACGCAGAGTTGGAGGACCCCGAGTCGTACGATAACGGCGACGGTTCGGTCGGAGCACTCGACGATTTGATCAAGTTGGATTCGAGCGAATCTGGCTCCAGCGATGGGGAACCTGACGGGGTGAGCGAGAAAAGCGTCAACTCCAACTGGAGTGATGGAGACACAGATGATGGGGTTGCGGATCTCGTCACCGACGCCTGGAACTGAGATCTGGCTACTTCTTCAGGCGGGTACATAATATATCGTTCCTTGGGATTGGGCTTGGGGATGTCGTGCCCGGCATTATTGCACGTCAGATCTCCACGTCGTACCGAAAGATCGTGTGGTCTGACTTATTCTAACTCCATGTTTCAATAACATTTTTCGCGCGTCCTTGTTGGTGGTTGAACAGGTCCGTGCTTCATTTCCGTTGGATGCATCCATCCACGAGATACGACGACCCCGGGGTACGAGACATCAGACGGACGAACAGCGCGCGCGACTTCTCCCCTGTATTTCTCTACCCAGTTGCGCAGGGAGGTGCACGGGGGGGATTATTTTTCAGCCGCGCTGTGTGTCCGTTGTTTATTGGCATAGTATTTTGTTAGTCGCAAACTGCCTGAAAGGTACGGGGGTGCTGTGTGCGTTCCGGGCCTGTCTGTGTCGTTTGTACTGGCTGTAAATAAGGTGTTTGTTGTTTCCTTCAGATCGGGCATGATGTTGATAGGTGTGGGCAACCCGGGGGGGGCAGTCTTGTGTGCGGGGTTCGTGTGTAAGTATTTCCTCGCGTTTTCGACACACCCAATGCTCAGTGCGTACAATGTATTTGTATGCTTTGAGACAAAACACTTCAACAACTACAGTAGTCTAAATATAGTCTAGTGTGTACATATTGCCGGCCGTGCCTGTCTGCGTGCGACGTCAGATAGCACAAGGTCATCAGTGATCAAGTTCCCCGTTATTGTAGCTGCCGTGATACTGTCGCTACTCCATCCTCTCATAGTTTTTTTCCCCGGGATTCTGGAGAGTTGTACTGCTGGGTGAGGGCCCCGAGTCAACAGGCACAAGTGTGTGCGGTGCAACACCGCAGCAGGAGAGGGGGGTACCCCAAAAGCAATTTCGGTTCAAATGTAGCTGACGCCATTCAACAGTACTCCACGTGTAGTACGTCTTGCAGCACAATTCCAAGTGCTGTACAACCGCAAGATCAGCAGCTAACATTACCAATGCTCGGTGTTGCCGGCGGCGTGGCAGAAAATAAGCATGGTGCCTGTATGTAAATGCAAGTTTTCAACTTCATCTGTGTCTATCTCTTGATTCCCGCGATCAGTCAAGTTCAACTCTTCTGAAATTTACTCTATGGTACTCAGTCCATCTTCCCTCAAATTTTTGTGGCGATTGATGCTGTAGTGGGCGCGTTCTTGTGCTTGGTCGCTTTGGCGGGTGCACAGCAGGGTGGTTGCGCCGCGTAGATACGAGTCTCACATTTTTTTAGGGGAGGGGCTGCGTGTTGCGCCGACAAGTTTGAAGCCTACAGTGGACGGAATTTGCCAAATCTTGGTTCCCTAGATAGCTACTGGCATAGTCTACTGCTGTAAGCCTTTAGCCTTCGGTGGATGTACGCCAGTCGCGCTGCTAATCTGTGTAAAACGATATTTTTTGTTCCTCCGCTTACTTTTTTTTTTTTCTGTCGTGCAGCAGTGGAGGGGGTCCCTCCCTCTCTAGTGCCGGCATGTGCCCAGGAATTTCCCCCGCACTCTACCGGACCGGCACTATTCAAAGCACTGACAATGACTTGGGAATTTGGTAAGTGCCCGCCGACAACGGCACTATACTGGGGATTGACACTATTCCACCGCCACGAAAGAGGGACCCCCTCTGTAGTTGTTTTCCTATTTAGGGTGCTTTTGTCGGTTGGAGGTGCAGGGAAAAGGAGACGCTGAAAGGCATTACAACGGGTTGCTGTGGGAATGGAGAGTAAGAGAGCAGCAGCAGCAGAAACAAACAACAGCAACGAGACCAACAGAGCCAGCTGCAAAGCGGCGACACGTTGCTGTTGCTGCTCATGTGCTCGAAGAAAATCCGAAGGGAAAGTGATCAATAGCTGAGACCAAAACTAGCTTGGAGATTTTACATCCCGAGGAAGGCACACCCAGAAAGTTGTACGACAGACAGACAGACAGACAGACAAGACAAAGACAAACGACGAAAGAGCAAACGACAAGAACACGATAACACTCACGACCCCCCGTAGTTGTGGTGCACGCTGTCCGAGGTGAGGATGTCCGCCGCCGATCGGGCGAGGTACACGAACCGCATGTCCACGCCAGCTCTCTCGGCCTCCTCCGCCACCAGCCGAAAGTCCACGTACTGGAGGGCCTTTTCGTCGCCGTTGAAGTTCGGGTAGGACATCATCCCCGTCCCCTGTCACGACGTTTTGGCGCGCGCGCGCGGCCAAGAAGGGGGGCCGAGGGAAGAGAAATTGTTTGGGGGGG